TCTCTCTCTCTCTCTCTCTCTCTCTCTCTCTCTCTCTCTCTCTCTCTCTCTCTCTCTCTCTCTCTCTCTCTCTCTCTCTCATGCGTGTGCGCGCTGGTGCACAAAAACACCACACAAAGCATGATTGTGCCAGACTGTTTCGTGGGACTTTCACCAACTCATCAGGGGGTTGAACCCCAACAGTCTGCCCAGGATGCAATTGCATGCGTGCATGGATGTGCGTTTGTTCGTGCATGTGGTTGCGCGGGCGGGCGGGTGGGCGTCCGCGTGATTGCGTGTCGCCGCTATACACTCGTCCGTGTGTGTTGCCTTGTTCACTATGCACCACTCAGCTCCGCCACATCAAAGGAAACTCGGTGCCACCAGAAATATTTGCGGGGAAACGGAATAGGGGATCGGCCTGCCTGGAACCGGTTTTGCCCAGGCCTGGCAGCCCTAACTTCTGCTAGGCTGCGAACTCCTAATCTGGGCCATTGGCCAACAGGTACCGGGCAGACGGCCCCGATTGCCCCGCGATCTTATAGTTTTAAGATCGCGGGGCAATCCGGGCCGTCGGGCCGGTAGGACCGTGAACGGCCTGGATCATTGCGCGATCTTAAAATCGTGGGGCAATCCGGCCGTCGGGCCGGTAGGTCCACGGACTGCCCAGATGCCAAAATTGCCGCATTAGCAATTTTAACAAGTGTAGGGATATCGGGCCAAAGATACATGTGTGAGTCCTGTTATTACTCCCAGGCTGAGTCCTGACTTCAAGGATCAGGTTGTAACTTGAGCACCATGATAGGCCCACTTGTGCCTGCGATGTCTTGTTATCACTCCCGGATATCGGGCCAAAGCTCCATGGGTCTTGTAATTACTCTCAGGCTGAGTCCTGACTTCAAGGATCAATTCGTAACTTTGCCCCATAACAGGCCCATTCGGAACTCACCACATTTCCTTCATTGTTACTTTTCCTTTTTCTACCATGTGTGTGTGATGTACTGTCGCATAGAGTGCTTCGTTAATTGCTTCTTTTGCCTTTTTTTTTTGTGTGCTTTTAGGGTGATATGTGAAGGGTCGAAAGGGAGGTGTAATGACCCGCCAAAACACAGACTGAGAACACTGCTGATTTCTGAGTTTTGCCACTGGAATGAATGCTTTGCTGAGATTTCCACATTCCGCTTAGTTTTCTAAGCCTGTGTGTGTGTGCGTGTTTGCTGGTTCGTGTGCACGTCTGAGTGCGTGTCGGTCTGAGTGTGTGTGGGGCCCGCCAGGGCACTTGTTCGTTTGGAAGGCCCAAGGGGCCAGAGTACTTACCTGTGGCCGTGACTGAGGGTTGCAGTGGGGAAAACACTCAAGTAGCAGGGAGTAGGTCTGCGACATGTAGGACAGTGGGAAAAACACTCAAGGAGCTGGTACACTGATACCACTCAAGTAGCGGTAGATGTGTCGGGAACCGAAGGCCGAGCAGAACAGGACAAAAAGTTCGTATTTTCAGAAGCCAGTAGCTAGTAGGCTAGGTCCAGGTGGATACAAGTCCAGGTAGCCTGATTCTAGGGCCTGTGCGGACAATATCAGAGCCTGCAATGACGTCTCCCTCTGAAAGGGAGGAGGTAGCGGTTGCTTGGAGGCTGAGCGGCCTGGCAGTCACCGCCCAAGAGGCATGTAGACCGCTATATCCAGGAGGAGCGAAGTGCTCCTCATATCGGTATGCAAGTTTGGGCGTCACACTGCTTGAGTGGGAGCTAGTTCTCAGAGCGCCGCTGGAACGAAGAGCGCTGGGCAGTACACCGCTGGGAGGAGGACGGAGGAGCTGGGGGCTCTGCCTGGCTATCGCGAGCAGCCCAGCCTGAGGAGGAAGAAGGGGACTAGGGAGGAGAGCGGCGAGGCAGTTACCTTGCTATGGTGGCCACCATCTTCATCACCATGTTAGGCGCTGCATCCGGAAGGCCCCTGTTGGGGTAGCGCCATACCAAGAACGCTTCAAGGCAGAGTCAGGCATGGCGGCCTGAGAAGCAGCGGCCATAGCTGTTTTGTGATGTCTTTTGCAGGTCAGGGCTAGGTCCTTAGAAGTCCGCCATAGCCTCAGCCTGGTTGAAGAGAAGGACGAGGAAGGCTATGGCTATGGTGGACCTCTGGTTATGCCGAGGAGTAGAAGAGGGATTCTGACATTCATCTTCTTCTTCTTATCTTCTTATCTTACTCTTTCTACTAAAGGAAAAAGCGGGTCTCGCGTGACGCTCCGACACGATACCGTTTTCCCACTCGGGCCCAGTGCGCTGTGTTGGGGAAGTCCACCTTTTGTTTTTTTGTTGCATTTTTTTTTTGTCGAACTTAGCCCAAGGCAAGCAGAGGTGCAGCTCAGCGGCTACAGCTTACTCTTCTAAGGGAAAAAGCGGGTCTCGTGTGACGCTCCGACACGATACCGTTTTCCCACTCGGGCCCAGTGCGCTGTGTTGGGGGTCCACCTTTTGTTTTTTTGTTGCAATTTTTTTTTGTCGAACTTAGCCCAAGGCAAGCAGAGGTGCAGCTCAGCGGCTACAGCAAATGTTGGAATCCAGTTGTTTTCCTCATTTTTGTCGTTATCTGGAAGCTCGGCGGGTACGATGAATGTTGCAATCCGGTCGTTTTCCTGAATTTTGTCGTTATCTGGAAGTAGGTTGGCAACAAGTACCTCGCTCCACTACTCACCAGATGCGCAAAAGACAAAAAATATGGTGGTCTACCCAGGTTGTAGCGTAAGATCCATTCTCAAACGGCCCTGGATTTGAACATTCATATAGCCTCGCTCTGCTACTCACCACAAAAATATGACTATGTACAGTCCCATGTTCTATCGTGGATTCATTCTCATTTTGGACATTTGGTGAGCACTGAAGCCAGGTCCTATGCCCCGAAGACAGCCTGCTACATAGGACCTTGCTCCACTCCTCACCAGATGTGCGAAATGAGATAGATTCTGCCACTGGAACACTGGAACATACACTGCCATATGTTTTGTAGTGAGTAGTGAACCGAGCCCCACGCTGACGGCGTGACGCACAGTGCCTTCTATTGTTTTCCTCGCTCCACTAATATGGTGGTATCTCTCCATGTTCTAGCGTGAAATTTATCCTCATTTTGCACATTTGTTGGGTGGTGGAGCGAGCTCCTATAGCGGGCCCGCTTTGGGGCATGAGCCCTCTCCCCAGTGCTCACCAAATGTGCATAATGAGAATGAATCGTGGGCTGGAACATGGCAAGATACACCGCCGTGTTTTTTGGCTTCCTCGCATGTGGTGAGTAGTGGAGCGAGGCCTGTACTCACACGCCGTGCCTCGCTGACTTTGGGACATAGGACCTGGACGTGTGCCGCCCGTTCCACATGCCGTGGCGGGGGCTGGACTGTGCCTGATGTTGGCAATGTCTTTTTTCTTCCCTCCATGCCCTCCACCACATCTGCGGCGGGTATCCGCTTGTTATTATTATTATTATTATTATTATTATTATTATTCATTGTTTGAATAAGAGAGGGGCGATAAGGAGGAGGGGTTGGTTGGCGACAGAAGGGGCATTGTCATTTGTATTTTGCTCATCTACATCTTCTTTCTTTCTTTCTTTCTTCCTTCTTCTTCTTCTTCTTCTTTCATCATTCCCTCCTCTCAAGATCATTCGTTTCTTTTGCAATTGGATGGCATTGTACTTTCTTCTGAATTTGCACTTTGAAATTGGCCAGGATCATAACAGAGGAGATAAAGTTGATGACAAGGTAAGAAAAGAGGCAAGGCGGGACATCGTGCTCAGCAATCCCTCCATGAAGGACAGGAATGCGCAGAAAAGACTATGGGAAATAACACTGTGTGATAAACAGACTGAGGAAGTTCAAAAGAGGTGCCAAGCTGAGAACATGGAGAGACGGAGGGATTATTTCGAAGAACGGATGGGAAACTAGGAGGGTCAGAACATGCAAAGGAAAACAAGCTTGGAGAAACGCGCGACAGAAAAGCAAGGAGGGGGAATCAGATCGAGGTCCACAGGGTCCAGGAAGCAGAACTAGAGAGCACAAGGCAGGACAGACAAGGAGAGACGAACATGACTGGGAAATGTGAGGTGCACAATACATATGGCAGTAGACAAAGCCTAAAGATGACGCAAACAATGCGAGCCTCAAAAAAATTATGTTGTCCTTGGGAGACAAAAAACTGTTGGGACTAAACATTGACTTAAATCTTGGATGCAGCACGCACCTTGAAAAGAATGCAAACAGCAATCACAATCTGAAAGGGGAGGATCCACAGACCATGAAGCTGTCCCATTAGGTCTGCCAACCGCTGCGCATCTACTGCCCTGCTCAATGAATCCAACAGCCACAGCAACAGCACAGACATCAACCCTTAACCATGGGGAAGTGAAAAACTGATAGGGCACAGCAATACAATACAGATAGAAAGTGATGTGAGTTAAACCTAGATCAACATTCCACCGTGGCAGGAAAAATAAAAGTGTAAAACTAGGAGGGCGGGCCGCCCGGCCAGTTGTGTCGCCTGGTTGGCCACCAGGCGGTACAAGCGCAAAAGGACTGGGGGGGGTCGGGAGTACCCGATTCGGTCCAGGCCACCTCCCCAAGCATGCCCCCGACAAAAAAAAAAAAAAAACAGAGGTCCTCAGCAGCCTTTTTCTTGGCGGTCGATTTTAGCCGCCGATCTGCAGAGATTGGTGGCTGGGACCGACCGGCAAGACGGGCCCAGCATGTGCCGTTCACGAATTCAAACCTTGCACGAATGGCAGCCCTTGCCTTCAAACGCTGGCAGGGGCTGCCATTCGCGCGAGGTTTCAATTCACGAATGGCATTCGTTCATCGACTTCCCGGCGCCCCTTCGCCCAACCCCAAGCTGCACCATAGACGCGCCTACTCTGCTGTGACGCCACATCGCCATCGCCTGCTCATGACCCGGTAAAAGTGCGTGTGTGTGTGTGTGTGTGTGTGTGTGTGTGTGTGTGTGTGTGTGTGTGT